GTGTTTTTTAAAAAGCTAAAGTGGATAGAGAGAAATACTTTTAACTGATGGTATATGGAGGGGATTATAATCAATGTAATGAAACAAGTTATATGAACTGTTGAATATGAAACCTATGATGTGCCCTGTAAACTTTCCCTCAATCCACAATAAAAACCTTAAATTAAAAAAAAAAAGTAATAAAATGCAAAATATAAATTCATAATTATATATTTGTTGCACACAATTCATTTTCCTTGCCTTAGCAAAAATCTTAAATTATTTTCATACCCACAGCACCACACCAGGACTCTTAGACAGATACATGTGTGTGTAAATGTATGAAGTCCTGGTGTGGTGCTGTGGGTCAATGCACTGGACTGTAAAGTCAGTTTGAACCGCAAGGTCAGCAGTTCAAGCTCACCAGCTGCTCCTCAAAAGCCCTATGTAGGATTGCTATGGGTTGGAATTGACTCAATAGCACTTAACAACAACAACAACAAAATATATACAAGTATGTACAAGGGGGCTTCAACGACTTCGTGGAAAGAAATGCAATGAAAAGATGATGAGATTTTTCCACAAAGTTTTTGAAGCCCCCTCATATATTGTTGTTGTTAAGTGCCGTAGAGTCAATTACGACCCATAGCAACCCTGTTTTTTAGGGTTTCCAAGGAGCAGCTGGTGAGCTTGAATCACTGACCCTGCAGTTCAAAAGACTTTGCGGTCTGATGCATTAGCCCAGCATTGCACCAGGACTCACCATCATATATGTTGTTGCTAAGTACCGTGGAGTCAGTTCTGACTCATAGCAACCCTGTACAGGGTTTCCAAGGCTGTAAATATTTACGGGAGCAGAAAGTCTCATCTTTCTCCCGCGGAACAGCTGGTAGTTTTGAACTGCTGACCCTGAGGTCATGGCCAAACCACTGAGAATCATGGCCCAGTTGACACATAACCATCACAACCAACATTATTTTTGCATCCCACCTCCTTTAGCAGACATACATTATTATTATTATTGCACAAAATAGTTTGTTTTTACTACAAGCCTAAATGTGAAATGTCAGATAACAAGATAGTCGATAAGCAAGGAGTAATTGTATAGCTAATCCCAAACTCGCGTGGTTGTGGGCAGGTGTCCCCTTCTTGCTTTTCTGTATTAAAATTTCACTTCTCCCCCAGAATGTTGAAGTATCCTGTGATCTTGCATTACATTGTGCTTCCCAACTTGATCTGTCCCAAATTGCCAGTAAAACTCCTGGCTTTTCACTTTTAACAGAGTGTAAATTTTGTTCAGCACTGCTATGAAACCAAGGAACATAGAAACCAGGATACTATAGAAATCTGGAGATCAAGTGAAGTAAAATGTTTCTACTTGGAAATGAGCAACAGTGCCAAACTCTGTCAAGAGATTGAATAAACAAGGATTGAATATTCACCAGCAGATATAGCAAAATTGGAAGTCAGTGATGACCTTAACATGCACGAGCAGTTTCCATGAGTCACAGTGGAGATGAATGCTTAGTTGAAAATGATTCAGGAAAAAATAAAGGAAAATAAGTGGAAACAAGGGTTTGTACAGCTCTTTAGAGGAATTTTTCTATAAAAAGGAGCAAAAGAAGTAGGGCAAAAGTTAAAAGATGTTCTAGAGCAAGGGATATTTTTATTTTTCTTTGTTTAATAACAAGGGACATTACAATTGATGGCTTTATATTTCTAATCCTGTCCCCTAAAACTTCATAATCATATATTCAGGTGTCCATCTGGCGTAATCCAAGCAAAATGAAGTCTTCAGTAACTTCAATCTCTATTTATTGTGATATTCTTTATTGGCCCAATTGTGAGATTTTGTATTTTCTTTACATTAAGGTGCAATCCATACTGAAGGCTTTGATCTCTATCAGTAAGCATTTCAAGTCCTCATTGCTTCCAGCAAGCAAGGTTGTGTCATCTGCTTATAACAGGTTGTTAATGAGTTTTCCTCCCATCCTAAATGTTCTTCTTCAGATAATCCAGCTTCTCAGATTATTTGCTCAGCATACAGACTGAATAAATATGGTGAAAGGATACAACCCTGGCACACGCCTTTCTGACAATAAGCCATCCAGTATCCCTTTGTTTTGTTTTAAAAACTGCCTCTGTACAGTTTCCTCATGAGCACAATTAAGTGTTCTGGGATATCCATTCTTTACAATATTATCCATAGCTTGTTATGATCCATACAGTTGAACACCTTTGCATAATCAATAAAGCACAAGCAAACATTCTTCTGGTAGTCTCTGTCTTCATGAGCAAGTTGCAGAGTTTCTTTTGACATTCATTTTAGTCTCAGACTTAATTTGTCCCAAACAAAACTCTCGGTTCATCCTCACTGTTCTCCCAATCTATTCTTTCCTAAATCTTCATTTTCTTAGTATGGAGTCCTGGTGTATTGTTATAGGATAAACACTGATTCTAACTGCAATGTTAGTGGTTCAAACTCACCAGCTGCTCCTTGGAAACCCTATACAGGGTTGCTATCAGTTGGAATTGACTCGATGGCACTTAACAACAACATTTTCTAAGTAAGCATCATTGCCATTCATTTAAACCAAAATCCAAAACAAATAAACGAAATTTCCAAAAAAAATCCTTGCCCAGGAGATACCAAGGCAAGTGGTTGGGTCCTCTCATTGCAAATCCTCCTCCAAGACTAAGACGCAAGGGGAAAACACGTTCTTATTGGTGACCACGCACATCACCCATAAAGAGAACTGACCGAAGAACATCAAAGAAGCAGCGAGCTAAGCCCTGCATCGTTCAGCAGATTATGGTGAGCCTGGGTGGAGAACTGGTCGGCCAACAGTGAGGCAAAACCTGGGGACTCATGGGCTCAGAGTCAGTGACACATCCACAGAGGACTAAAGTGGAGACCGACGCGACCAACTGATAAGAAGAGGGCGGACAGATGCAGGAACACCCACACCTGCAGATAATACCCACTTGCCATAGCTCCAATGAGGGGACGAACAGAGCTTAACCCAAAGAAGACAGAAGAAGAAAAAAGCGTCATCTGATACAATTTGATAAACTGGACATCCATCTATAAATGCATCAGTCCAAAAGAGGAAATAAATCACTCCTCCAAGAATTATTCATACCCCCTCCACACAAAGAGTAGATAGGGATGGCCATCTTGAACATTGACCAACCAAAATGGGAGAAAGGATACAAAGGCAAGAAGTGACTAGCTTACAAGCTTTCAAGAGGGAACCTAGATCCACAGGGCAGGGAAGATGGTAGAGTGTCCAGTGAGTAGTATCTGAAGTGTCTAGGAAGGACAGATGAGAAGAAATGCAGATGGGTCCCTTGGGAAGCAAGGGTGAATAATTGTTACCAGGACTGATTGTGAGGACTGGAAATGTAAAGGTGGACATTATATAGCAAGGAGGGGAGTGATTAACCTTTCAGTCTAGGAGCAGAGAGCCCTGGGACCATCAATGGAGAAGAGCAGAGAGCAGGACCCCACCCAGAGGAGCAGTGAGGCCGGAGACTGAGACAGAGAGGATGACGTGAAGAGATGGGAGTGGCTGGGGACTAGGGATCCGGAGAGGGGCTGTGTGCTGAGGACCGTGAAGGGAGGGCGGGCAGGATTGCAGGGTGTACCCTTTGGTTGGGTGATGATGCATGGACGGGATGGTAACTATGGCAATGAGACGATGTATGATGGAATGAATGTAAAACTAATGTTCCCCCATGTAGACTATCACACAATACACAATAAAACATTAAAAAAAAAAAAAAATCCTTGTAGTGAGTCCAGATTTCTTCCTTTCCCTCACTTTCCACAACCAACACATCAGTTCTATTTCCAAAATGTATCCTGAAATCCTGAATCTGTCCTCTTTATTATCTGGACTACTCCAATAGCTTTCCAGCGAACAGTTTTGCTCCCCACCACCTGTGGCACACACAGCAGAATGAATGATCTTTTGAAAGTGTAAATAAGAACATGTCACTTAAGTGACTCCTTCACTTCAAAGTGTTCACACTTAAGATCTCCACTGTTTACTATAAAGTTTTACATGATCGAGCCTTTAAAGACTATAAAGTTTTACATGATTGAACCTTTAAAAATTATAAAGTTCTACATGATAGAGCTTTTTCAACCTTATCAGCTACCATTTTTGTCCGTTTGGATGTCTCAGGAAAATCAAACAGAATCTGTCCCAAATAAAATTTTTGGTTCTCCTTCATGGTCTCCTCAATCTGTTCTTTTTTCCCCCCTAAGACTGTATTACTTGACTTTATTTTACACTAGGTTGGGGGGCAAAAGCAATCCTCCTTAATAAAGTTGACAAACTCTGAACATTTTTAATAGTGCACATTTTAAAAAAGTATTCATCTTGCAAATTGTTCTGCAATCCAAATATACAATAGCTTGGGAAACAATGGCAAGAAAACAAAAGCCAATGTAAACAGATTAAAACGACTAGAGCAGTACAAGACTGATTGGATACGGCTCTGGTGTTAATATTACCTTACTGCTTCATCACTGTTTGAAATCTGTTCCTTCAGCTGACTCCACTGCTCCGGATTTAAATAAATACCTTTTCTTCCTGGTTTCATTTCACCTTCCTGATCCAGCCAATATTCTCTAATATCGATTAGGATTTTCCCTTTAAAGTCCGGGACACTGACATACCTTATTTTCCCAACCTGAAACATATTATCTCTACTGCTGCAGCTCTGCTTAGATGACATTAAGGCTCTTGAAGTTTCATCTATTTTTTGCTTCTTCACAAGTTTTCCTGGAGAGACTTGCTTTTTAATCTTTAACTTTTTGTCGATTTCATTATTAGAATCACTGCCAGATGAGCTTGAAGAAACAAGGTCCTTTGATTTAGGCGTTGTTCCGCTCCTGCAAAGGAGCTCTGGTAGCGTAATGGTTACGAATTGGGCTGTGAACCTCAAGGTCAGCAGTTCGAAACTACCAGCTGTTCTCTGGGAGACAGATGAGGCTTTCTGTTCCTGTAAACACAGCCTCAGAAGCCCTGTACAGGGTCGCTATGAGTCGGAACTGACTCCATGGCACATAACCACCACCGCTCCTGCAAACCGAAGAGCCTACTGCTCGCTCACGACTGACAGAGCTCTATCTGTTTTTTAAATCGCTTTCGTATCTTTCACCATGTACCAAGACACATTGACCTTTTCTTTAAATTTTTATTTATATCTGATTATTTGAATTGCAAATATACAAAAAATACAAGAGACTAATACGAGTATTACAGACAACCAGGAGGAGCTCATTTCCTAGATCTAACACATCTATATTTAGCTACATTTGTCCATTAAAAAGTAAACTGCATGTTCTCCTCTGAATGTCTATGACTTAGAAAAGTGCTCAGTACATAACAGGTCTGATTGATTGAGTTAATATTTGCTTTTGATTAAAATAAAAATGTGTACATCTGTGTTCATGGATTCTTCTTATACCTCTTCCTTCACCTTTCACTTATGTTGTTGTTGTTATATGCCATGGAGTCAGTTCCGACTCATAGCCACCCTGTACAGGGTTTCCGAGGCTGTAAATCTTTACGGGAGCAGAAAGCCTCATCTTTCTCCCGGGGAACCGCTGGTAGTTTCGAACTGCTGACTGTGATATTAGCAGCCCAATTTGTAACCACTATGCTACCAGATAGCGTAGTGGTTACAAATCAGGCTGCAAACAGCAAAGTCAGCAGTTCGAAACTACCAGCTGTTCCGCGGGAGAAAGATGAGGCGTTCTGCTCCCGTAAAGATTTACAGCCTCGGAAACCCTGTACAGGGTCGCTATGGGTCGGAACCGACTCGACGGCACTTAACAACAACAACAGTGCTACCAGAGCTCCTTCAATACATTTATAGTGCATTTAAAAAATTTTTTTAATTGAAAAAAATTTTAAATGTAAATACATTAATCTTGTTTTATATCTGCTTTTTATTTATTTATCTTGATATGCTCAGTTTTAACTCATTCATTTACTGCCTGTGTAGTATTCCAGTGTATGAATATATAAGCATATCTCAGACATATGCAGATTTGGTTCCAAGACCATCACAATAAAGTGGATATCACAATAAAGTGAGTCACACAAATTTTGTTTTTCTCAGTTCATGTGTTACATTTTCACTGTATTGTAGTCTACATTGGATTGCTAGCCACAAGGCTGGAAGTTCAAACCCACCAGCCACTCCTCAGGAGAAATAGGAGGTGCTCTGTTCCTACAAAAAATGTACAGCCTCAGAAACCCTATATTGGGTGGCTATAAGTTGAACCAACTCAAAAGCATTTAACAACAACATAGTAGACTACTCAAACCAAAACCAAACTCACTGCCATTAAGTCAATTCGGGCTGATGAGCTTGAACCACCGATATTGCAATTCAAACCAACCTTGAAGTCTAGCTCGTTAACCCACAGCGCCACACCACGACTCCAGCCTACTATAGTACAAATATAAAACATACATTTGTGAGGTTGCTAAATGTAAGGTTAGGAGTTTAAATCCACCAACAGCTTTGAGGGAGAAAGATATGATGCCATCTGCTCCTGTAAAGATTTACAGTCATGGAAACCTATGTACGGTTACTATGAGTCAGAATCAGATGACAGTGGGGTTTTGCTTTTTGGGTAGTCTAATAAGTGTGTACCTTAGTGGTTACGAATCAGGCTGCTAATCTCACGGTCAGCAGTTCGAAACTACCAGCTGTTCCATGGGAGACAGATGAGGCTTTCTGCTCCTGTAAAGATTTACAGCCTCGGGAACCCTGTACAGGGTCGGTATGCGTTGGAACCGACTCCATGGCACATAACAACAACAAAAAATAAGTGTGTAGCAGCATTATGAAAATGTTTGTAGTATGTGATGATTACCAAAATGTGACACAGGGACATGAAGTGAGCATATGCTATTGAAAAAATGGCACCAAAAGGCTTGCTTTATACAGGGTTGCTACAAACCTTCAATTTGTAAAAATGCAGTATGGTCTAAGTGCAATAAAGCAAAGAGAAATAAAGCAAGTTATGCCTATACTATAATTTGTGTTTCCCTCCCCTGACTGAAGAACATTTAAGTTTTTTCCAATATCTTTTCATGACAAGGAGTGCTGTGATGAATATCAGCATCTTAGTGGTTAAGAGGTCAGAGTCTAGAGCAGGTTACTTAGATTCAACTCTAGGTCTGTCAGCTTCCTGAATTGTCAAGTCAGAATAAATAAAAGTAGCAGTGCAAGAGATTCTTGTTGTATGCGCTGTCAAGTTGGTTCTGAATAATAGCAACTCTGCATAGGGTTTTTGAAAGCAGCTGGGTTTGAGCTGCTGACTATGGTTACAAGGCTAGTACTTATCCTACAGCACCACAGAAAGGCTCATGATATTGTTAGTAGGGTTAAATGAATTAAAATATGTAAAGAACTTAAGGAAGTGCTTGGTACCAAGAAAAATATCAATGAATCTCAAATATTATTTATTGCTAAACCTCTGGACATATGCATCTTCAGATTCCTCTTCTAAGTGATGTACCCTACCACTCTGTCAAGTTATCGTACAGTGGTGGCTTGTGTGTTACTGTGACGCTGGAAACTATGCCACTGGTATTTTAAATACGAGGAAGGGTCACCCATGGTGGCCAGGTTTCTGCTGAGCTTCCAGACCAAGACAGACTAAGAAGAAGGGGAGGTGACTATCTCTGAATATTTACCCACTAGTTCAACCATTTCAAGAGATACCATATGAACAAGAGCCAATGATACTCATAGAGGAAGTCCAAAGTGCATTGAAAGAAGTGGCAAAGAACAAGGCACCAG